CTGATGATAACTGTTGAAATGGCATCTATTACATCATTAGCTCTTACATTGTTTAAATGCAGATGTAGTAAATATCACCTATTACAAAATATCATTACAAAATAGTTATATTAAAAATGATTCAAAATACAAACCCTGTCATTTTTAATATGTGTTAGAATTGCTTTATATGATATTCTCTTTTCTTTCCTACAACGTGGTGATTATCCGTGTACATATACATGTATGTCTGTGTATGTATACTCAGATATTTAAATATTTTGATCATTTATATTATCTAAACAATATTTTCAGTTTCTTTCTTCTAAAGATTATCATTACTGTATATATATCAGATCTAGGACCTCTCACCTGGAACAGTGCACAATAAGTGTTTATTATTCATGGTGCTACAACAGTCACTGATAACATTTACAGATTGCTGAAAATATGGGGAGATATCCACATTTAAAGAATGCCTGAAATGATATTGACTACATACTGCACTAAAATACTTTGTTAAAGACTCTGCAAGCACATATTTTCATGTTTTTTATCATCTTACCCTGTTGATCAATGTGTAAACTATTTAAAAGATTGTTCAACAACAAAAGCATTCACTCATACTTATCGTGTCTGTCGATTTGCAATCTTCAGACAATAAACACAGAATCTTATTCTCAGCAGTTTAGGTCAATACCATTTCTCAATAAAAGACTAGTCCTTAAGAAATAAATAGACTCCAGAAACAACCACAAGAAGAAATAGGCAATGATTTATGGATCATTGTATTCTTGAAGCTGAAACCTAAAACATCAAATGCCTCAATCATTATAGTTTTCTGAATACTCAGCACAAACAGGATACTGCTGAAGCTGCATACAAGAAACTTCTAGAGTTAAAAAAGTAAAGACATTCCGAGTATGTTAGTCAAAAACATAAGAACAAAGATGCTGTATGGAGTCCTGTGTGGATTCAAAGGCTGAAATGGAAAGAAGTTGCTAGATTAAAACAAAAAAAGTTGTTAGATTAAAGCAAATAGACAAGCACCCATCGACGTATGCAACAGAATTTTTCATGCTTACAACTGGACGGCTGTGACATCTTTTGAAGCAATAAAAGTGACAGAAAGTTCATGAATGGTAGCAGTTTCCATAAATAGAAAAGGCTGTTATTATTATAATAGTTTTACAGTTATATTAAATGCATTTCCAAACTTCTATAATGACTAGTTAAATGTGCCTAAATAAATCACAGAATTTACTAGTAATATATACAAATAGAAAAAGGTTCTAAAATAAAGTGTTAAATTAAACCTTTTAAAAATTAATAAATGCTTTTTGTTTACATACTGTCTTGATCTGTGTATACTTGAACTATGTCACTGCTTTTATTCCCATTTCCAACTGAGGTACTTGCTGTTACCCAAAATGTATAGTAGCTGAATATTGCCAGTTTATCTATTACTGCAGATACGGTCATATTGTCAAAGTCATTGGTTACTTCATGGAGTGTAAAATTCTGAAAAATAAACATATTGTTTTAATTGTTCAGAATGTAGTTTTAGTATACGTAATTTCAAGTAATTTCAAAATAATTATTATCCATGAATTGGCCATCCCTTATTATTTTAAAATGTCAATTTTTGAAAAAAATCAATGTAAATTGATTAGTGCAATAATTAAACTGGAAATATGTTTGTACTAAAAGAGGAATAGATGGTATTGTTTTTATCATAAAATTAACATACAGAATAGGAAAGAGCAGAAACTTCCAGCTTATGGAGAAGGTCCAGTAGCCAACTGAAAGCGCTCCAAAGTGCTGAGCAGTGTCAGTTTTCATTATAAAACTTTCAAGTAGTTTTCAAAACATTGACCCTATATTTTATGAATATTATAAAAACTTTGATTTTTTTTCTTCCTATTAATGATGAAGAAATTATTAAAGTGTTCACCACTTTCTCTGAACTCAAATGGTTATTATTCATCTTTAATGGGGCTTTTTTTTTCTATACTCATGGGGAGAAATGGGAAGTCAGCTAAATGCATTCTCTTTATTAAATGCAGAGTAAGAGCAATTTAAAAAAAATTTGCCTGATTCCTAGTTATATTTGTCCTAAAGCATTTATTGATGATTAGGGAATTTATTTATGCAATCACTTTCTTTCTGATATTTTAAATACAAAACACATAGCAAACAAAACCAGTAATAAAATAAAGGAAAATATACTTAAAAGTATGTAAGCAATTAGTATGAATAAATCCATGCTAATAGTATGGATGTCCATATTATTAATTTAATAATATAATAATGCCCATCTACACCAAGAAAGCTCAATCATTCCAAAACATACAAAGTTTTAAGCATCTTATAAACCTAACTTCAATTCTAGCAGAGTAGCCCTCAATAAACCATCTAAACTCAGATTCTCTTTCCTCAACTATAAAATGGGAGTAATTATTTCTACCTCACAGAGAGATTTTGAGGATGATATGAAACACATAAAACAATATCATATCTAGCACACAAATAAAAAACAATAAATGGTAATTAGTTCATTTAAATGAAAAACTTAGGGTAATTAATTTGACTAAAGTTTACAGTTAGGATGGTCCTATAATGCATCAAGAAATTAAATTCAGCAAAGTTTTGTGGTTCTTTTGCCAGTATTTGGCAGAGAGGAGGGGAAGAATGAGTGTAATAAAAGATCTACCTCAATGTTGTGGCTGCTTATTCAGGAACAGATAAGTTAAAACAATGTAACAATCTCACACAAAATATGATCTGTAAACTTGAATTATCTTTCAACACATCTATCTTACACAGGGAATAACTGTTTTACATAAAGTGTCTCTTAAAATATTAGCGTAATTAATTATTTAGCCATTTAAAAAGAAGGAAATCCTGCCATTTGCGACGAGGATGAACCTTGAGGTCATAATGCTGACAGAAATATGTCTGACAGAGAAAGACAAATACCATATGATCCCACTTATATGTGGAATCTAAAACACACATAAACCCCAAAACCTGAACTTACAGATACAAAGAACAGATTTGTGTTTGCCAGAGGTGCAGGGTGAGAGGGGGTGGGCAAAATGGGTGAAGGTGATCAAAAGGTATAGACCTCCAGTTATAAAATAAGTAAGTCATGAGGATGTAATGAAAAAATATACTAATGTAGCTTTTTGGTGTAAATTTTATTTTTTCTTTGTTATTGAATTTATTCTGATTACCTATCACCTTGATGACTATTTAGAAATGAATTATTTTGAATCACCCAGTAGCCATTCCTGATGAGTGTGTGACTTATCATGCATAGACATGTACCAAATTTGGAATTAGATCAATTATCCAGATGATTATTTCAGTCATTTATTTATTTTTGGAAAAAAATTTTTTTCAGCTCAAATTATGTAATTAAGACTTGCTACTCTGTATATATAAATGCAGTCAGAAGTTATTTAGTAAAGGCTTTCAAATTTGATTAATCAACCAGTATTCATTAGCATTTTTTAAATATAATAAGACACTATGTCAGGCACAGGAGGAGATATGACATAAGTGGGTAAAAATGAAAATGTAGTGGAATTATTACACTATACTAAACATAATGTGCAACAATTGAAGGAAGAACAATGGTAGCAGAGAGATTAAATTCCCCAAGGTCAGAAGAAGGAAAAATCACTTTCCCACAAACTCAAATGCTCCAAAATTATAACTAAGTATCAAAAATAATGTTGGTACATTCTTTCAACTAAAAATATTTATTGAGCATTGAACCTATGTATGATATAGTACCAGAGGACTTTGGGGGATGGAATAAGTGTCACGTGATCCTTTTCAAGTTATTTGCTACAGCATAGGGAGCTAGGACAAGTAAGCAGATACCAAGAATGGTTAGCAAAATGTGATATACCATGCATGAGGTTATTCTACAAAGTTCTGTGGGAAAGAGAAGAAAGAGAAGGAGGAAGAAAAAAGCTACACACTTATTCTGCTATACAGTGTTCATTTTGAGGGTTTATTCCACTCTTCCAACCCAAAATAGAAAATCAGTTAGCAAAGATGCTGTATTTAACATTAACTTGAGGAATAAATTAAAGCACAGATGAACTTCACGCAATATGAGAAGTATCTTCACATCATTAGCCTGTGCTCTCTAGCAGCTGTCACACATAAAAGCATTCTTAAGATTATTTAATAAAAGATTACGTTTTCTAAGTTAGATGAATTGTAAATAGGTTTGAAACCATAGTTAGATGTTTATACTTCATTATTTAAGTGTGGACAAAGAGAAACAAAATAGAATAGTGTGTATAGGTCATAAAGTAAATTGTACCCAGGCAAAAACCTTTGCTAAGATTCAGATACAGACACCACCCCTTTGCAGTATTTTTGTTAAATGTGTGAAAGAAGAAATCTGCATTTTGAATGGCCTCCATGACATAATGACACATTTTTAAAATTGTAAACAACACTGTGGTAAAAAAAATTATAATAAATTGCATACAAATCCCATTTCTTTTCTCAAAATAGAGCAGAACAAAAAGGAATAGCAAAAGTTGCTTAATGTACACAGAAAGGGGGAAAAAAAGGATCCTCCTTTCTCCTTCTGCTCCTAAGGCAGTTATAAAAATATACATCTATAACTACATATATATCTATATCTTCATGTCTTGTATAAAGTAGTTTTTCTTTTGGCATTAAGTTTTAAGCAGTCACACTTATTCAAGCCCATCCTTAGAGGGTCTTGAGCAGAATGTAAAAACTAAACCAACCTTGACTTTCTCTTACTCACTGCTCAGTAGTCCTGAGACTACTGGCAAAATTCTGCTCTGACCCCATTCATCAGCCTAAGCTGCAGCATAGATACAGTAAAGCAAATAATTCAATACAGTAATGCTTTATTTCCTGAGATTGTTGATCCCAAGAACTAACTCCCATGGCTATATTAATGTCGTCAGTCACAAATAGAGCAGGACAGCCCAAAATTACTAAGACTTGTCTCTATTCTTCAGCTGCTTAAAAAGATACAAAGAAGTAAGAATGGACAGTGTTATAATCAACAGGCAGTCAACAGTTTCTATTAAGGTACGTGTTCTGTAAATTGTAGCCTTTCTTCAAAATTAGCTTTTTCCAAATTATATTCCAAATCTCTACATTCCTGATTCAATCATAACCATTCCAATTTTATCATTTTCATATGTTAGAGTTCTGTTAAATATTTAGTTTGGATAAATAAAGGATTTCTACTGAGTAAACTGAAAATATTTCTCTAAACAAAATGCATTTTAGCTATTTTCATAGCCATCATTATTCACATCAGAAAGTGCCCATCTGCAAACTGTATGACCCTAAAACCCTGCATACCTCAAGTGAAATAACCACATTTCTAGTGATTTTATTACATGTGATACTAAATAACAACAAAATCCCTTCAGTTAGCAGTTAAAAATTGTTAAAATTGAAGAAAAATATGCAAACACATCCAAACATTAAAACTATTTATATTGTATGCAAACAAAAGGGAAATTTTTTTAGCTGAGAAATGAGGGTAAATTAAATCATCAACTCTTTAGAGAACACTTCTTGAAGAAGTGGAATTGAGGACCATATTTATACACAGAATTTTAAATAGGTCACATCTTCATTGTTTATAATATGTTTGAAGCTGACATGGAAATGTGTGCATATGCACAGATAGGTTAAAATGTATCTGACATTTCCCCACCATATTTTTTCAGTTTCAATGAAAGTTTCATGAAATGTCTATTCATAATTATCAGTGTAAGAGAAATGGTTTTTCTACCATGCCAAGTCTGTATCATCATCAATAAAATTGAAGGATGTAAATAAAGAACTAACTAGAAGAAAACTCAAGTCTTACCTGCACAAAAGTACCTGAAGTATTTCTGTAATAAATAGAATAATATTGAATAATCCCATTAGGTTTTGAAGGAGGCATCCAAAAGAGCATTATTGATGAAGAACTGAGATTTGCATAACGAACATCTTTGGGAGGATCACTTGGTGCTATAAAACAAACAATTGAACAAAAAACTGCACCTGTGGCTCTAAAGAGTGTCTGCAATGTTCTAAATTTTACCTGTCTTTGATAAGCAATAACCACTGTTTTTCAAAACAAAACTTAAATTAGGTATAACATCTAATGAGAGGTCAGAATTGAAATCCACAAGGCTCATTGGGCCATCTCTCTAATACCATATCATAGCAAAATCCAAGCAGAGGACAGATAGATTTCTTACTAAAGAAAGTAAAACACTAAAAAACATGCCACTTCTAAAACATCCCACTTCTAAAACATGCCACTGCCCTGTATTGGAAAACAACCTTGTAACAAGTTTCCAATATAAAACACATAATATGAAATTCTTATTTAACTTAGAATCTTGAAATCGAGTAATAAAGAACAAAGACAGTGAGATGACTTCATGCATGTTATTTTGTTTCATTTAACAAATACATAAAATACTAAGTGTCAAGTTCTATACCCAGTGTATTTACAAATATAAACTCATTTAATCCTCATAAGGACCCTCTTAAGTAGGTAATGTATTGTTTCCATAATATAGATAGGAAACTGAGGCACAGAGAAATTATTTTCCCAGCATCACACAGCTAGGAAGTGACCAAAAAGCAATTTCGCTTCCAACATGATGACAGATATTAGGCTTAGTAATACATTTTGATATTTAATACTTTTTTTTTTTGTGTGTAGGATATTTTTTTACTTGGCCTACATCCAAAAGAACTCACCTCCCTCAGGTGTTCGAAAGTTAATGATACTGCTTCTCATTTTCCCATCACCAAACCTTGTGCTAGCTGTTACATAAGCACTATATTCAACATTATAGTCCAAATCTGAAAACTCTAATGATGTTTCAGTTACATTAATAGTTTTTAATGATGACCTATCCCTGTGAGAAAAAAAAAATCTGTATAATTGACTATTAAATTAAACATTACATACACATTTTGAGCACAAGTATGTTAAAAATAAGCAACATTAATGCACACAAATGTATTAATCCAGACTAATAGGATAAAGACACCACTTATCCTGAAATGCTAAAAAGGGTGAAATTAAGAATAATTCAATAAATAATTTTTTTTTGTTTTCAAGTATACTGAGTAATTCAATCAAGTGTTAATAAGTTGTTCATATTAGAAGTTACTTGGACTGATTTTAATAGATCTCTGGGAATACTGCGTGGTCCAACTAATTACAGCACTCCTTTTCATACCCATGTTTTACTTGTTCAAATATATGTTCTTTTTTTTTTTTTTAATTTTTTTTTCAACGTTTTTTATTTATTTTTGGGACAGAGAGAGACAGAGCATGAACGGGGGAGGGGCATAGAGAGAGGGAGACACAGAATCGGAAACAGGCTCCAGGCTCTGAGCCATCAGCCCAGAGCCCGACGCGGGGCTCGAACTCACGGACCGCGAGATCGTGACCTGGCTGAAGTCGGACGCTCAACCGACTGCGCCACCCAGGCGCCCCAATATATGTTCTTTTTAATGTTGGTGACATCTTATATATACCCTTTGTCAAACAAATTCATTTTTCATACATCGTACAAAAGTAATATTTACCTCAGAGAAATTCAAATAGTAAATATCTAAATAGTAGTATATAAAATAGCAAACCTGTGTGTTATTTTTTACTAATTATAGTAATTAATTACCCTTTATTAATTTCTAAATTAATTATGTATTATGTATGAAATTATGTAGTAACTGGAAACAAATTGAAAATAATCTATGCATAACATACAGAAAAGGAAAAGGTAGAGCTCACATCTCTCATCCAGTTAAAAACTGAAAAGTATTTAAAATGTCATTCCAGAAAACACAAAAAAATGTTGATTATTAAAATCTCTTCAGGTCGCCTGGGTGGCTCAGTTAGTTGAGTGTCCGACTTTGGCTCAGGTCATGATCTCACAGCTCATGAGTTTGAGCCCCACATCAGGCTCTGGGCTGACAGCTCAGAGCCTGGAGCCTGCTTCAGATTCTGTTTCTCCCTGTCTCTCTGCCCCTAACCCCCTCGCATTCTCTCTCTGTCTCTCTCAAAAATAAGTAAACATTAAAAAAAAATTAAAAAAAAATTCTTCAAGTAAATACTAATATCTCAAGGAGGGAAAAAGGCTAAATGACAAAATGTTGCTAAGTAATATGATACTGCAATTATTTTATTACAGTCATGCTCGTATAGTTTCTATAGTTTTGAATTAAGTATAGGTTAGAATCTAAATTAAAGAATGAATATGTACATAATGGTACTGAAAACTGCATTTAAAAAAATTAGATTTTAAGACCAATAAAGTTAATTGTGAAAGAATTTAAGGGAATATGATCAACATTACAGCAAAAGTGTATCAATCTCATGCAATCCTATTTTTTCCTTCTTTAGTATCACATGGCACCCAAGAAGTAAATGTGTATTTCCTCTGAATATAAGATGCTCTTTCTTTGCCATTGAAATATTGGAATTCTTGAATCATTAAGAGGAATAATAGATTATAAGTGAACTAAGGGTATCCACAAAGACACATACATTCCAGCCATGGTTTAATGATTACAAAAGTGTCAATTCACTCCAAATATAGGTATGGTTATCTGAAAAGTAGTCAGAAAGCTTACCATAGTGAGAAAAATATGAATTCAGAATCTGTGATTGTAGACCAGCAGGATTAGCAAGGCTATTCAGCAATTTGAAACAGTTTCTTCAGATAGCTTCTCTCAGAAGCAGTAGAGACTTCACTGAGACCCAGGAGGGGGCTTTTAGAACTTAAGGCTGTGTCTGTTAGTCTCAGAGAAAGACGCTTTGTCATAGAAACTTTACCCAATTCCTTACCCCTGTCATTGGTCACAGGTCATTAGAACACTGCAATATGGTTAATGCAATTCAGATCTCTAAAACTGTGAAATTAGCTAAAGTGATCTAATTGCACCATATCTATTTTTAAAATTCCTTTTCAAGCATATTTTTCAATGCTATCTGCTGCCTTGCATCACTACCTTCTTGCCCTGACTGCAGATAAGTGTCTGCCTACAATAAGAAAAACCCTGATTACATTCCATAGATAATTTAGAATCAAGGCAATTACCTGGAAAAGGCAGATCAAAAGCAAATTTTGTCTCACATACCCAGGTATTTCAGTAAGAAGATAGTCTTTGTAAACTGTCTGAATAACAAAGTCAATAATCCACCTCTGCATGTACAGATATAGTTTCTACACCTACCCTGGTTTACCTCAAGACAAAATAGTACTAATAAAATTTTCAGATACTGATAATGTTCTTGTCTATTTGGGGCTTGTTCTTCTTTTGTAGTCTAGGATTGTCGCTATTTTAACAACTAAGGTAAAAAAAAAAATCTGAGCATAAATAAACGTCAACTGAAATTTCATTTCTGATCCAAGTTCATAACATAACTTAGATAAGAGATAGTTTGCTGCATAACTGAGAACTAGGAAGGGGAAAGAGAGAGAGGTGTTGCTGTCTCTAAGGATCTGACTCCCTCTTCCTTGCTCTTATGCAGTTGCCAGATTGAAGGAAAGACGCATAAATCTTCAGAGAACAGAGAACAGCCATCTCTGTGAGCAACCTGCAGCTCTGATGAGTCACTCCCTCCATGCATGAGAAGGCCTATGTTTGACACTGCTATAATCTTTTGGTTTAAAAAAAAATTTTTTTTTTTTAACATTTATTTATTTTTGAGACAGAGAGAGACAGAGCATGAATGGGGGAGGGTCAGAGAGAGGGAGACACAGAATCTGAAACAGGCTCCAGGCTCTGAGCTGTCAGCACAGAGCCCGACGCGGGGCTCGAACTCACGGACTGCGAGATCATGACCTGAGCCGAAGTCGGTCGCTTAACCGACTGAGCCACCCAGGCGCCCCATATAATCTTTTGGTTTTAACTGGTGTAGTTTAAAGATCTGTTTTGTCTGTATTACTTTGAAATACTGTAATAGGGATATTATATGTTGCCTTAGAGTGTTTTATTTCCATTTATAAAAGTGTATGTTCTTCTATATCTTGACCTTGTTTTGCTTTACTTATGTGATGACAATGATCTACATCATTATTTTTTTGTAATTGCCTAATTTGGATGTATCATAGTTATTCAGCCATTCTGCTGTAAAATTAACACTTAGGTTGCTTCCCACCCCTCTTTTAGTTACTAACTGTGACACAGCAATCATTCTTATACAAATATCTTTTCATAATGGTCCTTGGATTTCTGTAGGTTAAATTCCCAGTGGTGTAATTATTACATCAAATGGGTTGATTTTTTTTAATTTTAATGATTACTGTTCTAAAAGTTGTTTCTGTTCCAAATTATAAATTATTATAATTTAGAACTACAACAATGTGTGAGAGCACACCTTTGGCAAACTCTCATTACTAGTCTGGATATTAATCTTAATTACTGCAAACTTGACTCAAAAAATATTTTTAATCTGCAAATCCCTAACCATTTGTGAGACAGAATATCTTTTATATGTATATTGGTCATTTGTGGCCCTTTTTTGCATAACGTATGCACTTTCTTTTCTATATTTTATTGTAGTGTCTTAAATGGAGAATATATATTAGAGTAGAAAGGCACTATTCTTTTTAAAAAAGTTTTTAATATTTATTTAGTTTTGAGAGAGAAAGAGTGTGAGCAGAGGAGGGGCTAAGGCGGGGGGGACACAGAATCCGAAGCAGGCTTCAGGCTCTGAGGTGTCAGCACAGACCCTGATGCTGGGCTCAAACTCACGAACTGCAAGATTATGACCTGAGCCAAAGTTGGACGCTCAACCAACTGAGCCACCCAGGTGCCCCTAGAAAGGCACTGTCCTTTTAGATAGTGCTCCAAGCAAACAAGCACAGATACCTTCCTAGCCCCTCTCAATTTAGAGATGATATGTATGCCATCAATATCCAACAAAATTTATTGAGTATCTACTTTATGCAGGAACTATGTTAGACACAAATATGAGTAAGATTCAGCCCCTATCCTCAAAACAGACAAAATAGTAAATAATTATAAAACCTTTCATTAATAAAAATGGGATCCCTTTAATGACAATGACAACACCATCTCCACCCTGCCCCACCAGTGGCAAACAGCAAAGAAAAAGAGATGAACAAAAAAATTAAGCCAGTAAAATTTGATTATTGGTAACATCTAGAAAAGGAGAATACAACATATCTCCCAAAGGTGCAGGAAATTGTTGACCAGAAAGCTAGTTTGTAAGGTTTGAGAGAAGAATAGGGAGTTGAGTGGGGGGGGGGGGGGGGG